TTTAATTTAATTTGCTTCTCATTTTGCGTTTTTTTAACGGATAAATCTGGTGATGTACTTTCCGTTTGAATGGTATCAGTTAAGTTAATATCTTGAAGACTTTGGAAAATTTGATTTATGTTTGGGCGTTGTTTTGACTTAAACTGCCAACAATCTAAAGATTATTCACCAGAAAAGATATTATTAGTTAAACATATTAACCTCAATTATTTAAAATACTTAAACTACTAGTAACCTGTATATATTTTAACAAATTCACGCGGTGTGCCGTTAGCTACTGTTTCACGTTTTCCTTGTATAATAGAATTTAAAAAATTAAGATCTGATAAAGTTTCTGATTCAAATGGAACGACCCCACTAGAAAGCTCCCAAAACAAAATTCCAAGACTATAAATGTCTGAACGTTTTGTAAGTTTATGAGTTTTAATATTTTGTAAGTATTCTGGATCAGAATATTGAATTGAAGTAAGTAAAGATGCGAGTGAATTGGATTTTGTTGCATATTCAGAGATTCTAAATGCACTTAATTTAATATCACCACGGCAAACTAAAATATTTTCAGAATGCTGAACAAGTTTACAAGATTGTTAAATTATTTAAATTAATTTTATAATCAAAATTATAATCAAAATAAGAAATTTTAGAAATGCATACCATGTTTCCATGAATTACATTATTTGAATGCAAATGCATTACAGCACTTGCTAGTTGCTTTGCTAAGCGAAGTTTATCATTCCAATTTAATGTATCAAAATGATTTTTTAAATAGTTTCGTAGAGAACCATTATCTGCATACTCAAATATCAGCATGTACTTGTCTGGAAGTGATAATTCAGTAATTATTATCATTTTTTTTTTTTAAAAAAAAGGAAAACTTGTAGACAAAATAATTAATAATATACCTTGTGTTGTTAAACCAAATAATTTTAAAATATTATCGTGGTTATCTATTTTTTGATATTTTTCAACCTGCAATTAATAGATTTTAATAAAATATTGTTATATTTATGTACGTTCCTTTTTACCTTGAGAGAAATTTGCTTACATCATTAATAAGTTCCCTTAGAGAGTAATTCTGAGATTGTGATATTTCTTTTAATACTACATTTTTTTGATAAGTTACAGAAAAAGCTTTTTGGATAACTCCTCGTGATCCATTTCCAATAACTTCAAAATTTTCGAACTTATCATATTGATGAAAAATGTCATTATTTTTTGGGATCTCTTTAATATTAATCGATCCATCCATCCACTCCTCAAATCCAGTTTCAGATAGCATAAGTTTTGTATCCATTTAAAACCCTAATATTCTACAGTTATAGCAACTTGATTGAAGGACAAAGCAATGTTGTTGACTCGCATTAATGTGAGCGGTGTCTAAATATTTTGATGATCTTTTACCTGTGAGACGTGATTGTCAAACAAAACTTCTGAACAAGGAAGCTCCAAATATGATCACGAGCTTTACCATTTGATCTAAAAATTTAAACCAATTTACATATTGCATTTTTGACTAACCAATTTGTAACAATAATTAATTATGCACCATACGGCGCTGCAGTATTCATGTAAAAATTAATAAATTATATATGTACACTAAGCATAACTTACACATGCTAACCAGAAGTTTATAATGTTCCGAGACAAATTACAAACTTCATTAATTTAGTGTTTATAATTCGTTGTCTTATTTAGTGCACCAACCTGTGATACATACGTGTTCTTTAGTGGGATCTACTACAATACATATATATTTGTTCCTGTGATACAAGCTCAGTAAAAGGAAACCCAAATTAATAAACTAATCAAACAAGACATGTTATCGTTACATCTGTACGTATACGTATATGATGATCTATGATAATTTATAGTTTGG